TTCACATGCAGATTTGGGATTCATTTCTTTTAAAAGTTAACCTTTAAAAATTTTAATTCTTGGATGCAAAAATGGATAGGCATTTGAGAAAGGAAAGGGGTGACTTGGGCTCAGTATGTCTGGGCTTTAGAGATAGGGAACAATACCTGAATTGTGCAATTGAGGATGTTTCATTTTTCCTTTCTTTTTCTTCTCTCTCTCTCTCTCTCTCTCTCTCTCTCTCTCTCTCTCTCTCTCCCCCACCCCCCTTGCTTAGGAAGTTGTGTTTCAAATGTAAACGTGACATGCATGAAAAGGTTTCTTTTTAAAAGCAAAGGGCTTTGTAGTCAGTACTTTTTTTTTTAAACTTGAAAATGGATATTAGTAGAAAGGGGGCCCTTTTACGAGAAACTCCAGTTAAATGACAGTTCATTGAGTATAGGCAGTTTCAAGTTACTCTGATGATGATGGATCATAAATTTAATTTGGCAGGTTTTACTGGTTTACTGTACGCTTGCTGGGTGCCCTGGACTGACCTAAATCCTTTGGGGGGAACCCCAAGAAGTATAAAAATATGGCTGTCTGTCCTCAGCCTCCTTGGGAGGTCATGACTCATGCATACAAAGTAGTTGAGGAATAATAAGATGCAGCATATGATTAGGTATCAAAAATGGTTGTTGAAGAGAGTAAAAGATAAATCGGAGAGGGGAGAAAATGAACTGGGCTACAATTTTTCATCACTAGAGGGAGACATAGGGAGAAGCAAGGAGGACTGCTTCACATAGATCAATCACAACCCAAAACCCCCCAATTTACAGACAAAGAAACCGAGGCTCAGGAAGATTTGGGAATTTGCCCACGATCCACAGGCAGCAGAAAACAGGGTCAGAAGATAGAATCAGAAAAGTAAGCAGGGCCAGATTCTGGAAGGATTGGAATTTGGATTTTGCTGTAATAACAATGAGAGTCCTGGGAAGATTTTGAGGGAGGAAGTGACATGACCTTATTTTCATTGTATACAGACCACCCTGACTGCTCAGTGGAGAATGGTTTTGGGAAGGACGAGTGAGAGTAGTGAGAACAGCATCGCAGTTGGCTGGGTCAGAGACGATGGTGCCTTGGACAATGGAGGTGACTGTGAACTGGAAAGTAGTTATTGGATTCGGGATTTATTTTGGATGTGGAGCCCATAGGACTTGCCATTGAGTTGAGGAATGAAGGGTGACTTTCATTTCAGGATTTTGGTTTGGACAACTATTTGAGTGGCAGAATCCTTAGCTGAGAATAGTAGGAGCATGTTTGTGGTTAACTTCAGAATGGAAAAGCATTTTCCAACTACAAAGTGCTCTCCAAAAGCAAACTGATACGAAGAAAGAAGCCAACATAAATAGTACAGCTTCAAGAAACTGAATTCTGCCAACACCCTAAGCGAGCTTGGGTGTGGATTCTTCTCTTATTGAACCTCCAGATGAGAATGCAGCCTGGATGACATCAGGATCGCAATCTTGTGAGATCTGAGCAAGGGAACCAGCTAACGTGTGTGTGCTCCACACCCACAGAAACTATAAGATAACAAGCGGGTCTGTGTCAAGCTGCTAAGTTTGTGATAATCTGTTGCACAGCAGGAGAAAACTAACACAGGTGAAGAGTAAATTGTCAAGTAGCAGCAAGCTCTTGGTCATCATGTTTGGACCATACTGGCTTCCCTCTGTTCCTCAAAGGCACCACGGCCTTGTCTGCCTCACAGTCTTGCATCTGCTTTGCCCTTCACCTGGAACTCACTGTCCCTGGACCTGTACATGGCTGGCAACTTCAAGGTATTCAGGTCTCAGTTCAATGTCATCACTTTTCAGAGACTATCCCTGACCATCTTTTGCAATGTAACAGCCACCTGTGGTCCAAAATATCTTCCTTCCCTTCCTCTCTCTCTCTTCCTTCCTTCTTCCTTCCCACACTCTCTCCCTCCTCCCTCCCTTCCTATCCTCTTTTCTTCATTCGATGGTTAATTTTATGTGTCAATTTGACTGGGACATGAGGTGCCAGAGTAAACACCATGTTGCGTGTGTCTGTGAAGGTATTATTTCCAGGTGAGATTAACATTTGCATCAGTGGTTCAGTAAAGCAGATGGCCCTCCCCACTGTGGGTAGACTTCATCCAATCTGATGAGGACTTGAATAGGGAAGATAAGACAGAGGAACATCATCCAAAACTGATTCTGGCGGTGGTTCTCTGAGTGAATCACATGGCTACGTGCAATGAAAATGGGTGCATTTTACCACATGTAAACTCTACCTCCATAAAGTTGAGTTAGAGAAATAAGAATCAAGAGAAACTGACAATTTGGATAATTCAAACTTGATAGTACTTGGTAACTAAGGAAACACCATCATCTAAGGAAACAGAGAAAAAATTTCTTTTATTGCACAGAGATTCCAGGAGAGGTCGGAGCCACTCCTTGGAGTGAGGGGTGTAGAGTGATTTTGCTTTCATGGTTTGGGAAGGAGAATGTCTGCTGCCTCCCATCAGCTTGGCTCCTTTGTTCCCAGAAGGTAAGGGATGTATTCTATTACTTTATAAAGCCTTCTCAAGTTCTGCCCATCTTCCTCCACTCCCTGCCCTGTTCCTTTTTCCTTTTTTTCCTCTCTTTGTATTTCTTTGCCTGCCAAGTTCTGTGCGTTTCTGAATCACAGAAAACCAGATCAACTCATGTTAATCTCAAAAGCCAGGTTCAAACAGGAAAAGTAAGCAGGAAATGTTCAGGCAATTGTCTCGAGATAATCCAAGAAAAAGTGCGGCTTTTTACCTAGTTCTCATAATAATCTGGGTTTCTTGGCACGAACAATGGAGGCTTAATTCTTCATCATCCTCTTCCTCTATGCCAGTGGAGAAATATGGTGATTCCGGGAGTTTGGAAAAACTGTCTGTAAAATACATAAATACTTTGTAATTATTTTAGTAAATACATTTTAAAAACAAATTGCAAAAAAATTCTC